TGTTTTGATATATATGGACTAATTGGACACCAGTGCTACCCTAACTGGGTTTTTGTTCAAAGTCCCACATTGGCAAGCTACTGATTCAGCGTCCTGTCTGAATTTTCCCCGTGGCTTCACTTGATTTGTGTAACTGGAAGATCTATATTGGGCTGTGAGCAATGAGACATTGATACAAGGTAGCCCTTCCTAATAGGGAAAACTCACTGGTTGTGACCAAAGGGAAGGAGGATTCAGATCTTGATGTGCCCTGCCAGTGTTCTTCAGCCGGCTCCACTCGCTCTGCCTGAGTCCTGAGTTCCTCACGCAAGACCGGATCACTCTTCAGGAGAGCTTCAAGCTGCACACAGCACGTGTTTCTCACGGGGATTCTTACGCTCTGCGGTTGTCACTTACGTTTCAATTTTCCAGAGCTTCTGGAGACTCTCAGCTGTCTCTGGATGTCTGTGTCTCTTCCCTCAACATCTTGCAGATGCAATTCAGTGATTTGTACACAGCTCATAAATTACTGGATTATTAGCCATAGTAGACGCACACGTGAGACACGTGACGGGACACCGTCAGTCCTTGCTGTGTGCACATCCTCGCGAATTGTGAATATTCACATTTGCTAAAATTGATTTGCCGCCCCAACACTTGTGCAGTCACTTGTGAACATGCACAGAGAAGCTCAGATTGGGATCCCTAAAACACATGTTCCCAGCTCAGTCTCTCTGTGTTAGCTCTCGTACAACAAACAAACGTCCTATGTATTGTGCCACCTTTTTGGCATCTTGGTGCTTCTAGTTGGTGATTTTGCTGTTTACAATGGCCCCCGAACAGGACTGAAGTGTTGTCTCTCAAACTTAAATACAGAGGGCTGTGATGCGCTTCCAAGGCAAGACCTATCTGTTACATAAGCTTTGCTCAGCCCTGAGTTCCAACGCCGTTGGACATATGTTCGATGTTAATTAATCAATAATATGCATTAAATAAACTGTCTCTGACCTGAAGCACTCATAAAACACAGTTAGGTATTGATCAGTTGATGAGAATATTCAACTAGAAGTTTGCAGTAACCTAATCTTTCCGTATTTCCCTTTGGAGTGATGGTTCAGGATGTGCTAATGCAGTGCTTTGTAGATACTTTATAGAACATAACTACTGTCAATAACAAGAATTACTCTGTGTGTGTGTGTGCTTCATAAGGCTTCAAAGACTAGCAATGCTTATTGTCTTAGAGACATCTCATTTTCATAATCAAAATTGGATAGAACAGGTGTCTGCAAGAAGCTCAGATGCATTTGTGTGACACAGGATTCACAGGTTCTCAGGGGCAAGCGGTGAACTGCCACTCATTATCTGATCTGTATATCTGTAAACGAATTTGATCCTCACATTCATATCTTATATTAGCAGCATGTTCCTTTTTTTCTCTTTAAAGTCTTTTCGCACTTAAAAAGGTTTAATTTTCACATGATTGAGTAGTCTGTGCATATAAAGTTTGAGAACCCTAAGTATGAAACATCCCAAATAGGGGTATCTATAAGGGTCCCTTGGAAAGATTGTTTAAGAAGTTGCGTCCATTGTCCCATCCCAACCACTGAGTTAGAACCTCCTGGGGGCTGTCCGGGAACCTGCATTGTGCAGAGAGGGGCTGGACTAAGGAGACAGGCGCGTGGGCCCATCATTTGTTCTAGGTTGCTCTGGCATACAGAGTCCTCAATGTATGCGGAAGCAGATGGAATCCACCAAGCTGTGCACTATGAAAAATCTCAACAGCAATTTCTCCCTAAAAATCAATGACCCCGAACTTACCTCCAGTGCAGTTGCTAGAATTGCTCGTTAGCACGAAGGAATCGTTGCCCCCATATCCTACTGCCTCCGCAGCGCCTGCCCTGAACAACATTATCAATTCCAACCGGAAAAGGTTCCTAGCTTTCCCCGCAAAACTGTGGCTCACATCTCAAACAACGGCAAATCCAAACACTGCAGTTACCCAAGCCCAGAACTCAGGAGCTGCTTCTGGATCCTTCAGCTTCCTCAGACCACACAAGTATTCAGAAGGCCAAGGCAACCTCCGTACCCTATCTACACTGCAGGAAACCATCATCATCTGCTGGTCTCTGCACTCCTGCATTACCAAAAAAGCTTAAAGCATGTTCCCGGCTCCTGTCCAGCCCTGCTCCCACACAGGCATTTCCCAGCCCACGAACAACTACAGGGATCCCACTACAGGGAGCCAGGCTGCTTTCCACTATTGCTTCAGACTCGCCAATATCTTCTCATGTCGCTCAACCCTCTGACTCCTCCTCGCTCTGTCCCACCACCACTTGACATTGGCCTCCCTCATGATTCTCCATTTACTCGTCCGTCAATGATTCTCCACTTACTCGTCCGTCATACTCCAGCTACCCAAGCTTCAGGACTTGTTACATTTCTGAACATATCTGGCCAGATGGCCTGCTTCCAGACTTAGCACTTGCTGTATTCTCCACCTACAAGCTTGTTTCTCCAACTATTCACTGGCCCGGTCTTCAGGATCAAATCTTGCTCTGTTTCACCTCCAGCATCCATTTAACGTTGTCATTTCGCTTTTGCTTCCTCCCATGAAATATTGACTTCCTAACACAGCACTGCCCAGGGTTCCAGAGCTGTGTGATGTATGCACTTCCTGCTAGCCACAGGTGGTAATGGGGCACTCAAGACATGGCCAAGGAAACAGAAGACCCCAACATTTAATTCCACCTTATTTCCATGAAACTGGCTAAATTCATATTTGATTTTTCATGTATTGAAATTCACTTAATTTTCTAATGAATTTTAATTAAGTTAGAATGTAAATAAGTACTTGTTGCAGGCAGATACTACAATGGACAGCCCAGTTGATTTAGAACCCTGTTTGTTTATAAGGTTGAGGAAGGAATCAATATTTTTCTTTTTTGATGTTTATAGATAATTTCTCCCAGCACCATTAGTTGAAAAAAAATCATTCGTTCACTGCTGGCTAATGCCACCTTGAGAGCTAATCAATTACCAGTATTTGAGTGAATCTGTTTAAACATTCTCTATTCAGTTTCATTGTTCTATTTGTTTTTATTTGAGTCAAATACACCCTTGTTTTACTTAGTCTAAAAGTATAAACTTTTTTATTTCTGGTAGTGTTGAGTTCCTTCAATTTGTTCTCCAAGGTTAGTGTGGCTTTTTTTCTTGTTCCTTTTTTTTTTACTTACAAAGTTTGGAATCTGTTTGCCTATTTTCAACAAAATAATCCTACCCCCACACACACATTTTGCAACAATTTTGATCTAGATTTTGCACCAAATCCATCTCCAGTTTGGAAACAAAGACATTATACAATGTTGACTCTTCTAGTAAATGAAAATTTTACATTGCTTCAATTATTGGGGAGTTTAACTGATCTAAAATGCATTTTTTTAATTTATTTATTTGACAGGCAGAGTTACAGACAGTGAGAGAGAAAGACAGAGAGAAAGGTCTTCCCTCCATTGGTTCACTCCCCCAAATGGCCACAATGGCCGGGGCTGCACAGATCTGAAGCCAGGAGCCAAGTGCTTCTTCCTGGTCTCCCATGCGGGTGCAGGGACCCAAGCACTTGGACCATCCTCCACTGCTTTCCCAGGCCAAAGCAGAGAGCTGGACCAGAAGAGGAACAACCAGGACTAGAACCCGGCGCCCATATGGAATGTCGGCGCCACAGGCAGAGGACCAACCTAGTGTGCCACGGCACCAACCCCCTAAAATGCATTTTGTATTGATGTATATAGAAGCCTCACAAATCTTTCATTAGACTTACTACATGTGTTTGAGATTCTTGATGCTACTGAAAATATAACCTTCCAAATAGTCACGCTCTAATTGCTTATTAGTTGTATATACAAATAAAATTAATCTTATACTAATTTTATATTCAATGATAATCCTAAATTTAATCATTTATTTGTAGGTTGTTAAGGATATTCTTAATACATAACCTGGTTATCTCTGAATAATGAGAATACCAGTTTTTCTTTTTAATACTTACATTTTTCAGTTCTTTCCCTTGCTTTATTGCACTGGCTAGAATCTCCAATTTGGTGTGGAAGTGAGTGGTGTTAATGCTAACAACAGAGGAAAACTTTCAATAGTTTACCATAAACTATGATAGATGCCGTAGGGATTTTTGTGGGTATTCTTTATCAAGTTAAGAAAATGCCCTTCCACTAGTAATTAAGTGAATTTTTCTTTTTTATAATGCATGGATATTGAATGTAATCAAAAACAGTTTCTAGGCCAGTGCTGTGGCTCACTAGGCTAATCCTCCGCCTTGCGGCGCCGGCACACCAGGTTCTAGTCCCAGTTGGGGCGCCGGATTCTGTCCTGGTTGCCCCTCTTCCAGGCCAGCTCTCTCCTGTGGCCCGGGAGTGCAGTGGAGGATGGCCCAAGTGCTTGGGCCCTGCACCCCATGGGAGACCAGGAGAAGCACCTGGCTCCTGCCTTCGGATCAGCGCGGTGCGCCGGCCGCGGTGACCATTGTAGGGTGAACCAACAGCAAAGGAAGACCTTTCTCTCTCTGTCTCTCTCACTATCCACTCTGCCTGTCCAAAAAAGAAAAAGTTTCTACGACAACTTCTGTAAATCTGTGTATGTAAAAAACTCAATAATATAAATAAACTTCACGTTTTCAAATATTTCAAAACTACATATTTTTCAAAGCTGTTACTTTTATCTTTTTTTTTTTTTACAAAAAAATGCCTATACTTTTTATTGTAGGGCATATTAGGAAATTTTTTATTGTTCAATTTGCTATGAATATCACATGCAGAGAGGAATGAAAATATTACAAATTATGTAAATCATTTTCATTTAACTATTTTTAAAGATATTTTTCAGTTTTACTAAATTGTATACATTTTAATCAAATGGAAAACTAGGCCAACTTTCTACTTACTTCATTTTAATTTTGTATAAATAAAGCATTCATGAAAATTGAACTGCTGAATGAAAGTGGATTTACTCACCAGTCATATTGCAGTAGAGAAGGAACGGTCCCAGGGGACCACTTCCGTCGGCATCTACATAGTAAAACCCCGAAGTATTTCCTCGGTGCTTATAGGCTTCACAGGACTGCTCATAGATGGCTGCAGAAAAAGCAGATGGTCATCAATGCACGAGTAGGACCAGAGCGTCTTCCCTTTCAGTGTGGCCACATCATCTCTGATTCCTTAACACTTCACATTATACGTTACTGATCAGGAGAAAAGGTAAAAATACCTTAAAACAATACTCATCATTGTAAAGTGATTTTCAGGGGAAGAAGGAAAGGGTGGTATTTTATTACTTTTTATCACTGAAGTAAAATGAGCTAACTTTGTAAAAATGGAAATTTAGCATATTTTTACATTGCAAAGAACAAGGAAAGGGAAGGTTGGTGTTTAAATGTTAAGACCTTCTAAGAATAATGTGATGTCTTGTCTTATGACATCTGCTTTGGAAGTTTTAATTCTAGGATCACCTTGCGGTAATCTAAGGTCTGAAGCACAGTGGTGCAGCCTCCTTAAACAATCTGCTGCTATCCAATACTTAAACAATAGGAAACTTCTGATGGGCATTGTAATTATATTCCTATCTCACATGACACTAGCTATAGATAAAACGCTCTTTTTGTAAGACAAATAAGATTAGCAAAGCTCCTCATCAATGATTTTTAAAAGTCGTTTACAAAAGAAATGTTCACTAATTCTCTATAGTGAGAATTCAAGATAATTAAAATTCAATGTAGAAGAAATATTTCTATGAAATACGTCCCTGAAATAGTCTCCATGTGCTTGGAACTAAAACTAGGCATTTATTATATAATTGTACAAGGTTTGAAAAACCACCTATCTATGATGCTTATTTCTCTTAAACATTTAGCCAAATGTACTAATAGCTTCCATTAAGCTTTTTATTCTGTGAAATCAGAGATAAAAAATCTATTCTTCCTTGAATATATTTCAAATTTGTATGATTGCATTAAGGAGTGACTTGAAATAATGTGGCTAATGTGTTCAACGCCACAAAAATTTGAAATCACCGTATCCATATATTTCCCCATTCCTCCACAAACTGATGGCTTTATTTTGTTCCTATTACAGATTACAAACATGTAAGTACAGGTATAAACTGTCTTTGTTACATTTATATTTATACCCTCATGTGGACATATGAAAATGGTTACTTTACATATATTCCTATATGACTTAGCACAAACGCCTTGAAAGAGATTGGCAGGATATGAACTTTGAGGCAGGGACTGATATTAGAAAGAATACGTGAGTACAGTAGAAAGGACGTTTGCTTTATGTATATTGCTTGACATTTTATAACATGAATGTTAAGTGATTTTTCTTAATAAAATAATTTAAAATCTCCACCTTTCCCCTTGACAGCTGAAAACCAAGTTTGTCATCCTGGCCCCATTTCTTACAACGGTCATTGATAAAAACCTTCAACTGTACTTGTACTATCTGCTTAAGATCCTAATAAGTTGATTACTGGATCCAATTGTGAGCCACAAATGAAAATCTCTTTTTTTATTTATCCCCTAATTCCCTCCTCAGAGATATTTGTGTTTGCATTTAAATCTAGCCATTGACACCAATTTAAAACAACCAATTAAGCAATTCAAACACATATAATAACTTTCTGCTTCGAGTTAGCCATGACAATGGGAATAATGGAAGATATAAAAAATTAAAATACGCTCTCCCTCCATTAGTTGGGTGACCTGAGTCAACTAACTTAGCCTTGAATTACAGGTCAAGTATGGTTTTATCACCAGTAAACATTCTTCATAAAATCTTCACAGGCACTCAAATATATACAGTTGATGCCTGCCTCGAAAAGACCTTGGCTGCAGTGGCAGGGCCAGGAGAGTCTCGGATCACAGCCTCTTTAACCCTGAAGCAGGGCTTGGAGCCCAGGGTTCAATCTCAACTCTGCAATACAAAGCAATGTACAGTATAAAAGACCAAGGGTGGAAAGGCTGATGACCACATACCTAACACTCGTGCCTTAAGTCCAGGCTACATAGGACAGTGCAATAAGGCAAAAGGCTCACAAATGTCAGGAATAATATGAAAAATGATGAGCACATTGGTCTTCCCATTACATATTCTGCCCAAGTGGACAACAAGATGACGTGAGCTTTATAACACATGCAAGCATTGCATTAGACAAATGCATGGTTCATCACACAGGGAAGGGGCATTGGTTAGATTCCAGGCTCCATAGCGGGCTTTCCCATCTCAGTCACTTAAGTATCCTTGGAAAAATTGATTGACATCTCTCTATTACCGCACTACTAACTGGGGATTATTGTACCTACTTTTTAGGGTGGCTATCAGAGTCAAGGAAGTTGGGGTATATGATAACAAACATTGGGCACTTGGAAAATATTCAATAAATGAATCATTAGGATCAAGAGAACTATTATCTACCTCCTTATGTTCATCACTCTCATGGAACTCTTCCCAACCTGAGACTTAATATGTTGAAACCCAATTCCCAATGGGGAGGTATTTGGAGGGGCTGGGCTTTGGGAGGTGATCAGGTTGTGAGGATAAAGATCTCATCATTGGCACTGTTGTTGCTGTACAAGAGGCCCAACAGAGGCACTGCCCTTGCACCATATGAAGACAACGGGAAGAAGACAGCATCCAGGACCCAGGAAGCAGGCATCAAATCTGCCCCGTGAATCTTGGACTTCATCCTCCAATACTATGAGAAATGAATTTCTGTTGTCTGCAACCCACTCAGTATGGGATTTTGTTACAGCTGCCCAAATGGTCAAAGGCATCTAATCCTCCTTGGTGTGAATCTCCAAACCACAAGCTAACCCTGCCTCAATCCATCCAGCACTGTTTCTGAGAATTTCTTTGTTTAATTGTATCAAGAATTAGAGTTTAGCAACTGATCATACTTCCACTTATATCACACCTTCTAGAATGTTGGTCCAAGTAAGGCATCAGAACAAGATGGTCATGTGTTCTCCATTTTCTTTTGTTTTTTTTTTACCCTTAGCTACTTCTGATTTCTTCACATGCTTTTTCTTTTTCCAGCTGTCCTACTCTTTCAGCTTTTGTGTTGCTTCTGTAAACGACTTTAATTACTTTACAAAATGAGGTGCACATTAAAAATAAACTAGAAACCAACTGGCTGCTAAAACTCAGGGTTGCCTATTCCAGTCCAGGACTGCACCTAGCTGGACACATGGACGCGCAGCTGGAAAGGGAAATGGAACAAGGAAATCACCACAGAGCCAGAACAAGTGGTGTGATTGGCTTACAGTTATGGCAAGTGGCTCCTCTGTACGCCGTGCCTGTACAGTTACAGTGGAAGGTGTTCCAGGACTGAGAGCACTCACCACCATGTTCACAATAGTTGGGCAAACACCTAAAGGAAGGCGCAGATACGATCACCATGTTTCATACTTAGATGTCACAAAGTACCAATCATTCATGCATGGTCAGATGGAGGAAGGATACGAACCTTAGCCCAGAGTGACTTTCACGTGACTAATGGTTAGTCAGTCTGTTGTAAAGGTACTTTAATAACAGAACCAAACCTTAGATCAGTGCATGCATCAGGTTTCAAGCAATTCTCGGGTAGTTACGACTGCTGAATTCTCAACATATCTCACTAGATCAGAGCCCCTTATTTTCCCTAAGTGACAGAACACAAACTCAGTATGTTGCCAAGAGTATTGACAACTTACATGAAATAACATTTTATCACACTGAGTTACTACATTGTTTGGATATTTAAAGGAAGAGAGAACAAAAAGAGGAGGGTGTTACGGTGCAGCAGGTTAAGCCTCTCTCTGGATCCCTGTGCCCTGTATTACAGAGCTGGCGCTGAGTCTGCCTCCACTTCCCATCCAGCTTCCTGCTAATGTGACGGGGAAGACAGCAGATGATGGCCCAAGTAGTAGGGTCCCTGCCACCTATGTGGGAGATATGGGATAGATTTACTGGCTCCTGGCTTCAGCCTGGCAGACTCCCAACTGTTCAGGCATTTAGGGAGTAAACCAGTAAGTTAAAGATCTCTCTCTCTCTCTGTCTCTGTCTCTGTCTCTCCCTCCCTCCCTCCCTCTCTGTCTCCCTCTCTGCCTCTTTCTCTCTCTTTCTCTGTATCTCTCTCTCTCCCACACACCCTCACCCCACCTCCTCTCTCTGTCATTCTGCCATTCAAATAAATAAAAGGGAAGCAAAGCAGGAAGTGGAAAGGTCGGGTGACTTCACAGCTGGTGGATGCAGCCAGAGATGTGGAAGGATGCAGAGTTCAGACTCAGGACATCCCAGCACCGTGCAGGGTGCTCTAGGGTACAGTATCGAACTCCAGGGGCTCCCGGGTTATTTTAAATCTCAAGGACACATAACTGGCACACTTCACATCTGTCAAGCACTGTGGGACTTACCAACTCAAGGTAGCCCAGTTTCAACATCAGATCATAAAATATTCCTTTTAATCACATCTCAGAGATGTTGGATTTTCAATAATTAATAACAAGTAAACCAGTACAATGTGAAATTAACATCAAACAACAAGCGAGCATGGTGGTGTCTGATCTGATTCCAAGCTGCTGTTAATAGTCGTGCAGCGGCCAACAGGTGCATACACCAAAATTATGAAATAATTATGTATAATTAAAAATGAAAAATAATTAAAACATGTATCCTTTTTTCTGTTTTAATACCTTTTATGCTGTGAATTGATGGCATGAAACATGATTTTACATATAGAGAGCTAAATGAAGCAAATAAACATACCCGTCATCTCACACAGACCTTTGGCTTGTTTTGTAGCAACAGTAGTTAAAAATCTACTCATTGAGCATGGTCTCAGATACAATCAATTTTGATTACTTATTGTACTTATGTTGTACATTAGATGTCTAGATTCAGATCAGTTGTTCAAAGAGTGACTAAATTGTTAAGACATAAATACTTATTAAATTGTGCAGACCCACATCACTTTTTAGACAAACAGTTAGGTGTAACTTTTGGCACGGAGGCACAGTAAAAATGGCTGGGATGCTAAGGACTCCAGGATGGAAAACATTTAGGAAACTCTGCTCCGGCCTCAGCTAGCCCTGCCCAGCTGGGCAGCTTTCACACCTCCTGGAGTCTCCTGATGCTAGACTCCCTCCCTTACAGTGCTTACTTCAAAATTCTTCCCACTGTCAATTCTTCCTTTGTCCCTTTGAGATGTAAATCTCAAAAAACAAAACCAAAACACCCCTAGGCAGGTTTACAACCCAGAAATGCTTCCCTCAGGGAGCTGGGAACTTGCAGTCTCCCTGTGGCTGAGGGAGGATAGGAGCCCAAGTTCCTGAAGCATCAGCCAGCAATCACCTATGTGTCTTCCTTAGCAAATAATTTTTTTTTTATTTTTTAAAGATTTATTTATTTTATTTGAAAGTGACAGTTACACAGAGAGAGAGGAGAGGGGAGGGGGGAGAGGTCTTCTATCCGTTGGTTCACTCCCCAATTGGTCGCAATGGCCAGAGCTGCGCTGATCCGAAGCCAGGAGCCAGGAGCCTCCTCCTAGTCTCCCATGTGGGTGCAGCCCAAGGACTTGGGCCATCCTCCACTGCTTTCCCAGGCCATAGCAGAAAGCTGGATTGGAAGTGGAACAGCCAGGACTAGAACCAGCGCCCATATGGGATGCCGGCGCTTCAGGCCAGGGTGTCAACCCGCTGCGTCACAGTGCCAGCCCCAGCAAACAGATTCTGAAAGTCATATCTAGACCACTTGTGAACTTTTGAATGTGTTAGGGATGTCTAAGAGCACAGGGCACCATGAACTGAGATTTGTGGGAATTTGGACCCAAAGAGCCCTGATCGGAATATTGACACCTTTCAGAAAGGAAGATGATAGACATCAGACCACCATGGCTTTAAACGGTCTCATTCATCCAAGACTTAAAAAATATGAAAACCACAAAACCAGCCAAGAATAGATCCATGATAAGGTTTCTATCACCTCCTTTATCAAAACTAAGGATGGGCAACTTCCTGTCTTGCTTATAAGATTCTTTGAATTTTAACTGGAAATACAGTTATTGATTTTTCTTGATTATAAAAATAGATGTCCACTATACAGAAATCAAACAATCCAGATCACAGTCAATCAACAAACGACAATCCGGAAGACATGTCAGTTACATTCTCATTAGGTAGCAGTTACCACTGCAAATGCATATGCATGGACACACATTCATCAATATAATCATAGTCAATGCTATTCTACAACTTGTGTGTTAAGGATTTAAAAATAAATAATGACCATCTTTCCAAGCCCAGTAAGTTTATATATATTTTAGCAGTTTTATAGATTTGCAAGAACCCATTTAAAGCAAATGTACCCTGACTTATTTAATTTTTAATCACTTCAAATCAATGGCAATGTAGAGAAAAAGATTTTAAATTACTAAAACGATAAGAATCCCAGTGCTAACCAAACAGAGAAGGACACAGAAGGCTCTGCGTTTAGCAAACCTCAAGCCATGTTTTTAAGAGGTCGGTATGAGGGCTTTGCCTAAAAGCCAAAGAATGCGTCTTTGCTGTGATACAGAAAGAATGCACCCTTAATTACTCCGATCCATGCACTATTTCTATTTGATCTGCTTCTGAAAGTCTAACAAAGCATTTTCCTGCTTCTGACTAGGTTTTCCACATCCTAGTGGAAATATGAAAGACTGAATTGTGAACTTTATTGCAATTCATTATAGAGTAATGTTTGATGATAGTAACCTACTACAATGTATCTTGTAGAGTGAAGCATTCATCCCCACTGAACGCCCTACACAGTTGTATTTTACTCTCTCTTGCTAGTCAATCCAATTCAAGGTCAGATCATCCATCAACCCATTTTTTCTGGCCTCTAAAGCTTTTCCCTTAGACATTTCCATCATTATTTTCATTGCTTGTGAACTTGAACAAATGCAGACATCAACACACCTTAACCTGACGTGATGTGTGAGATTTTGATTTATCCTGATTCCCTGTCCATTCCCATTGACATTTCAAAAGACTTTCACACGATATAGAGGTTGGCTAGAATTAATGATGCTGAAATAGAGTCTGCACACCATCATCACTTGTCGGAAAATAAACAAAGTAAGGTACCTCTGGGTCCCAGCATAAGGGTGAGCAGGGAATTCAAATTTCTTATCTTCATCAGCCTCTGAAATCAGCAGGAACCCTCACTCTGTCTGACTCCCTTCTCATAAAAAGAGTTATGGGAGCAGAATAACACCATGATTTACTTGTCAACTGGCTGAAACACCACATGTGAGCCTAAGAGAGGAGGAACACGGGATGGCTGGTGGGGCTGCGCAGAGAGCAGGACGGGGAAGCAGACTCGGCTGGACCTGTGGGAAGGGGGATGCGACGGTGGCCTGAGGCCAGAGCATGAAGACTAAGCAGTAGAAGTGGGTCAAGAGGAGAGCATGACTGAGTCCCAGAGGCTGCAGCTGGGAAAGTCAGGAGCTGGCAGCGGTGGGCGCTGTCACACAGCAGCCTCTCTGTTCTCCACTGGGGTCTCTGGCACTGGGAGGCACAGCACACCCTGGGCCTCCCTGCGTTTGGGGAATGGCGAGCAGTGTCTGTGGCCAAGATGGGGACCCGCCCCTCCCAGTAGATGTTCTTAGAAAGTTGATGTCAGAAGATAGAGCTGATGGTTTTATGCAACAAATGTTCCAGGTCCAAGCAACTTCGCACGGAACATGTGCCCTACCATCTGTTTCCGGTGCTGCAGCCCCGCCTGGTGCCTGCCCTCATCCCTCAGTCACTCCCAGAGGCACTGCCTAAGGAGTAGCACCCTGCATATCCACAGAGGGGACGGCAGGGCTTGTGGCTGAAGGCAGGGGTGTGTGTGTGTGTGTGTGTGTGTGTAAGTGACAGTGTAGATGGAAGGGGTGTTGTGTGTAAGGAATGGGGGATGGCTTTATGAGTAGGAAAGTGTCAGGATCTTGTGAGTGTGCAAGAAGCTTCTGAGGACCAGAGTAGGCACACAAGAGCGCACTGTGTGAGTGCGCCCGAGGGCCATCATATGTACTGTACGTGTGCACAGCACATGTGCCTGGCTGTGTGAGTGTGAGCACACGTATCTGTACAGACCCCTTTGTGTGTAGGTTTGACCCCTCTGTAAGTCAGTTACAGTGAAAAAAAAAAGGGGGACTGCATTGTGTTCCTTCCAATCAGATTTTTAAATTGTGTTTAATGTTATTGTTTGCTTTTAATTATAGTTTATGAAAACATTGGATGGTATGTTTATTACACATGGATTAAATATTAACACCACAAAGGCCACCCTGTACCCAGGGAGGCTGCACAGCAAGGCAGGAGAGCACTTCCGGGGGACTTTCCTGGACCACAGCGCATGGCTTTGGGGCTGGGCGCCGCCTTTTCTCAGATGAACTGTCTGGGTCAACTTAACCTCTCTGTGCATCTAGCTCTGTATTTATAGGCAGTGAGTACAGTGAAAGACAGCTTCTAAGAGCCTTTGTAAGGACGGACTTAAAGATTAATTCACACAGAGTGTTTAGCATAGGGCTTGGTATACAGATTCTTTAAAATCTGTAATGGCCATGACGTTCCATGGAAGCCCATAATTAAAATACAATCTTGGTAGTAAAGCATGACTGGCAAGATGATTTAGCTACAGTTGCCTCTGCCCAAACATGGTTTTTAATTATCAGGAACTATTAATTATTTTCAAAATCTCTTGTCCACTACAATTAACTCCCACATCTTGATTTATGCCCTGTATCCAAGCATCTAAGGCAACTGCCGGATCACCCCTACTCCTTGGTCAACGTCACGGCCCCGAGCTGTTCTGCAGGAAGGGTTCTTCTTCATTTTCCCTGCAGAGAAAATGATAACCAGCTGCTGCAGGTGCCCATCAGGAGAACAGCTACCAGGTAAGTCCCCTGCCTCAGAAAACACCCAACGGTCAGGGTAGCCAAAGCCGGTCTCTGACTTATGGATGGCTGATGATCCATTTTACTATTCAGAGGCCCTCATCTATCGGTTTAATGACACACTTTCACTGCATTTATATCCATCTAAAATTATAGCAGCATCAACATTATCTTTTGTGAATTGGTAGCATGTGTGTGTTCACATAAATAACCTAGCCACATGTCCCATATCTAAATTTTATCATTTGAAATATGACATCTAAAACAAAAGGCATAGATTTCTTATAGACAAGTGAATAGAATCCATTTTCTGTGCAGCAGACGGCAGTGGTAAAGAGCAGAGAGAAATGTTATTTTTATATGAAAATTTAGTCTGCTGCCTGAAGTATGAAAATGGCTCACCGTAGAGCAGCGAGGTTGTCCTTACCTGTCTGAGATGCCGCAGGAGTCTATCAGCAGGTCACTGAAGTTCCCGAGGGACCCCTGCTGCACTGCGATCAGATCTGCCACCTTGCCACCCACAGCAATGAGCCGCATGCACCCCTGGAACCCACCAAATGGGCTTTGACATTTGGACCCAAAGCTTTCGTCAGGGCAACCTGATAAAACAAAGCAAAGGCAAGACACAGCACAACAAAACAGGAGTCAGTATCATAGCATATTTCATTAGAAAAAGTACCAAAAAAGAAAAAAAAGGCACTTGATTATCCTCTGTATTAAAACAGGGAAAGAAACCCAATGACGTCATTATTAGTTCGATCTAAATTAAACATTGCAATTCATACACAGTATTTGTCTTTATTCATATAGGACTCATAGGAACACCAGCGTTATTATAATTATGTGCCAGGATACTAATTTAATACAGTTTTTAAAATATACATATTAGCTCCAGAATCCTAAATATGCCAGCCAGAAGTACTAAGATGTGTGTGTGTGTGTATATATATATATATATATATAACTTAAATTCAGGAACTTAAGATTTTTTTGGACTCCAAAGTTAAGAACAAAAAGGATGAAAACATACATCATACATTAAAAAAAAAAATCAATAGCAGTGAAGTGCTTCTGTCTGTAAAGCTAACTATTTGGAAAAGGAGTAATATTGACTAAGAATACAATTATCAACTATTTACTGAATTAAATATTTATTTCGCAGGGCCAGTGTTATGGTACAGCAGGTTAGAACACTGCCGTCAACACAGGCATCCCATATGAGCACCAGTTCAAGTCCCGGCTGCTCCACTTGCGATCCAGCTCCCTGCTAATACACTTGGGAAAGCAGTGGAAGACGGCTCAAATGCTTGAGCTCCTGCCACCCATGAGGGAGACCCAGATGGAGTTCCAGGCTCCTGGCTTAGGCCTGGCCCAGATCCAGCTTTTCCAGCTGTCTGGGGTGTAAACTAGTGAATGGAAGATCCCTCCCTCTCCTCTCTCTCTGGTTCTCCCTTGACTCTCTGATACTCTGCCTTTCTAATCCATAAAATACAATTTTTAAAATAAGTAAATAAATAAATAATTCATTGCCCTACAGAAGAGCCACATACAAATGGATTTTAATAAATCCTAATGACTTAATGTCGAAATATTTCATTGCTTAATTTTATTTATTCTTCGCCTCTTGAAAAAATTTCACATTTATACTGTTTGTTCTAAGATTTACTTAAGAGTTGCATCTAATTTTTTTAATCATAAAGAAATATAATATTAACTGTGATTGTCTGGGGTCTAATGATGTTCTAAATGCTTCTCTACCCAAGTGAAATAAATAATTTTATGGTGCATGAACACATATATTCTACTTACATATTTTTTCATTAATCTTTCTTTGTCGTTATGGTTGTCAACCACCATTACAATTTCAAGACATAAGAAATGAATCAGCAACTTTTTAATGCCTGTATAAGCCAAGCTAGTTTGGGACCTAGAGATTTTCATTATGATTAAATATTTTAACTATGGATATTTCTTCTTAATGCTTTGTTTTCCTAACAAAATAGATTTACACAGCAAGTAGAGTCCAGCATTATTATTTAAACTATTATCAAGCATACTGAAATACTGCATTTCCACAGAATGGAGACTTTGAGGTTTCAAATTCAATAAAAGTGATCAAAGCTTTTTGAGTACTAACTCTCTCTGTACCCAAGACTTCCCCCATTTCCAGGACTTAGCATTCTTCAGCACTGCAGGACAGGGTTACTCTAACTGTGGTATGTGTCCTAGATCAGTTATTAGCCAATTACGAACATTAAGGTAGAAAATGAAAGGACAATAGCTCCATAGTACCTGGGGGTTAACAGAATATGCCAGAAATACAAACAGCTTGCTAATCTCCTTCTTCCCTGGTGGTGATTTTTAATATACCTCAGACTATTTTGGAATAAAATGAACTGTGCAATTTGCCTACAGGTGGACAAAACTAAGCGAACCTAGGGTCATGGGGAAAAGTTACAGAACTATACAAAGAGCACACTGTCCTATCCTGAGGCACTCCCTATTCCTAGCTACCACACACGCAATAAACAAGACGTTCTCAGAACAAAGAAGGGTTCACTCTGTCAGTCTCTGCGGTCTATGGAAGACACAGCTGTGAGTGATTATAATGCAATACGGGAGAGAATTTCAGCACTGAACCCATCAGAGATAAAAGTTCTAAAATAGAAGATTTCTGGAGAATGCTTAATGCTGAACTAATGGATGGATCCATTACTGGAGGCAGCCAGCATGTCAAACACCTTGGAGGCTGACAGATAAATTATCACTGTGTGTCACCACACCACAAGTGGGATGTCGCCTAGACTTCACCGCGGCGCAGCCAGTTCACTGGCTAGATAATGTTTGCTTTGCACGAGGGAGGAAGCGCGTGAGAATCTGCACACGGTTTAGTATCCCCAGACTGGGCTGCATGGTAGCTTATGCACCGCATAGAGTCCCACAGGAGCGTTTCCAGAAATGAGAGTCCTTGATCCGGAAAACCCAGATTTAAAAATCGGTCATTGATAAATGATCAAAGCCGAGCACAATGCACTGCACACAGTCTGGCTTTTTGCAAAGCACTCATTGGAGGGTCAAAACGACGGATGAAGGCTGGATGGAGGAAGGTAGGTGTGGCCTATAGGGAGCTCAGCTGGTTCAGGAGCAGGACCCCTGCCAATAATGAAGCCACTCCCAAACTGGCATAGAAAGACGCAGAACACCCAAACTGGCATAGAAAGACGCAGAACACGGGCTGTGGGGAGAGGCTGGTCCTGTCAAAAAGACAACGCAGCCGGGTTAGGCTGACCACGTTCTGAATCGCGAAGCCTGCAGCTGAATTCAGAGAGACATGAAGGGGTGGGAAGTGTTTCACAGTGTGGACTTTTTTCTTTCCTGTTTGAAAATAAAATAATTGGTCAATGAACTACCTAAAAATGCCTTCCACCTAGATAAACACATCCTGGTGATAAAGGGGACTGTCAAACACACAGAAAAAATGGTTTGCTATGGTGGCCAATTGTCAAAGTTGGCTCAGGACGTGGCAGGTGGGGGAAAACAAGACTACAAGCTGAAGTCGGGAAGAGCAGATCACCTATGACTCCATGCCCGTTATCGTACAGGCAAGGAGGGGCCTGTGCCAGTGCTGCGCTCTGTACAATCCTAGCCCACTTCTCCAACAGCCATGCTTTTGTCTGTGGTCTCCAGAAGCCCAGAAGCTTTGCAGGAAAAGAGGAGGTGCCTGCCTGGGAATATCTCTCCCACAGAACCAGCCCCAAAGTCCTAAGTAGGCATTTCCGAGGGTGGACTCCTGAACCAGGCCCAGGAGGCACAGACTGGGCCCATGAGGGAGAATGGGGGCAGTACAAAGCCTCCTGTTTAGATGCGGCCCATCACTTCCAGCCCTGGAAATGTTATCATGGCCTGGATGCCACAGGGCACATGTTTAAGTGATCATTAGAGTCTCAGGCCAAGGTCAAGTCTGTTCTGGGACGGTTATCTCACCATGATGAGTGACTAAACAGAGATCCCTAACTAAACCTGAGATGGGCTATTAAGATAAAAGCCTAAGAGACGGAATTTTACTGTGTGTTCTGGAAACTTCCATAGTACACTGTTGATGCACTACAACAAAGAACAAGAAAGGAAGAACATGAAGTTCTATACTCAGGAGCGTGCTTACTTGGGAGAGATCCGAGAATATCATCCCAGAGGGACAAACGTGTGCTGAGAAATCCTCTTTCTAAACTAGGGGGATGTGTATGTAGTTGTGACTTCAAAATTTACTAGCAGTACTGAAAGTGTATATATAAGATGGAAACACGTATGTACCTTTAAAATGTATATATAAGGTGGTTATATATAAGGGGAAAATGGTTATGAAGTATCTAGGAACTCTATGTATGTCTTTGCAACTTTCGTATAAATCTGTAACCCTCCAAATATTTTAAAACTATGAATAGTGTATACCATCTGTATCACAACGCAAACAAGCAAAATTAGAGTGCATATGTGATATTTCACTATAAAATAATATTACAGCATGAGTAAAAACAATCACCAGAGAAAAAAATTCTCTACAATAAAACAGCTAAGCATTATTAAATCTGAACGAGAAGGATATAAAATACTTTAAGAATGATGACTCTATTTTCATGATTTACAAACACTTCTATCCCGTCTTTTATTTTGCATCATTTAACAATATGCCTGCTATTTCTTATCTCTTTTAGTGCTTCTAAATCTTTTCCTTTGAAGTGAAAGCTCTTGGTTAAGTTGTTCTATATATCTTACTATTGATTAAAAGAATGTGTACAAGGGATTGCCATAAAATCAATCAGACATTCCAAAACAACCTGGTTCAGAACTGAACAAATCTCGGCAAAGGAAGCAATTATGTCTTTGAAAATCGTTGGCCCTCTGCAGCCTTCCACAGTAACGGATTATGTAGGGGTTTTTGTTTGTGCATTCATTTGCTCTTCAGAACTGATGAACTGATTCACGGGCTAGGTACTCACTGCCAATTCTTAGAAAAGAATTTGTATTTTAATGGTGATTTAAAAAGACTCACCTACTTCCACCCAATTCAAAAATGATTCTAGCCAGAGCAACTATTAAAAGGCAATGTAGCAACAACAAAACAAGAGTAACATAAGAAACACTCCAAATCACGATTAGAAATGTCACTATTAACAATTTTATTACTTTGTCTTTTCATTGGAAAAGAACATTTGGTTTTAATTTTCCAGTGACAGTTCCATCCCCACTGCTTTTTCCAAGCCCTAATCCAATCGCACATCAACTGGACAGGTCAACACTTCCTATGTTAGCAGGTGTGGAAGGGGCCTGGCCCGATTTCATCAGATATATCCAAGCATTATTACTTAGCGAAGAGAAGGGGTTGCCATGGCTAATTAAGCCAGATCATTTGCCCATTGGCATATCACTGCCCTTCTGCATTGGGCAGTGGGAAAGCAATAGGATGCTCTAGAGGAGCTAAGAGGCATGACCAGGAAAACGCTGTAATAAAATCAACCATAAAATCAGAAGAAGACATAATAAGGACCATTTAACACTCGGAAAACATAACAATCTTTAGAGTTAAGATCTAAAGAGGGTGACCTACTTAAAGTCAATCTCATTATAGAAATTGTAAACATAAGTAAGTCCGCCTTCCAGAAATGCATTTTAGGTCATAATTTGTCATCTTGCTGCATTCGACATTTCCATGTTCTAAGAAGGTGGGAAATTACTCCTTAGTACTCACGTTGCTGAAAGCATAATGACTCCCCCCAAACACAGGAGCAGTAAATGCAAACACGGTTGAACTGCCAGATGGCATTGACTTACCTCCAAAATAGTAGACGCCACCTGAATAAATCTGCTCAGGCCCCAGCGACAGAGCAGCAGAGGCTACGTGGCCATCCACTGCCACGCTCAGGTGATTCCTCTTAGCAGATAAGGAGATGGCATGCCACTGGCCATCATTTAATCCAGCACCTGGGGGTGGGGGATGGGGAGCAGAGAGGAAGCAATTGGTTAAAAGAAATGACTGTCAACAGGGAACTCCTCAGGCAGTTGGTTAGGAACAGCAGGGCGTGCAGCACTCAAGTGCCTGTAGTATTTCTGTCTATCGTTGTTCCCCTGATCCTCGCAGGATCCGTTCCAAGACACCTAGTGGATGCCTGACATGCAAGTAGTACAGAATGCTGTAGACACTATGGTTTCTTTCCTGTACACATATACTCAAGATAAGGCTTCATTCATAAACTGGACACAGCTAATGATAGTGCAATAGAGCAATATATTGTAATGAAAGTTATTTAAAACTTCTTTTGAGGATTTTCCATTGAATATTTTTGGGCCCCAAATGATGGTGGGTAACTAAAACCATGGAAAGTGAAGATAGAGGGGGATGGGAAGGCTACTGAATTAATAAGAAGAAAACGAACAGAAAGAAAAGAGGGTAAGACAAGCAAAAACTCAGCACCCCGCTGTGAAAAGCGCTGGTTCATTATCCCCCTTTCTCAGGCCCTCAACAGAAAGAACCGGATCCTGAACCCTACACAATTCTGAATGGTTACTTGCCGTAGACTGACCTTCAGAGTCCATTCACCTAAATTACCTCCTAGCAGAGAGCGTTTAGGAAGAGTACAAATATTTACAGATCATATTCAAAAAAAGTTTTATCTACATTTTTCACACTTCTAAATAGTCACCTTTTACGACATTATAACAGAATATTTAGCCACCTATACGAGCAGCAAAGGTTAAATTCCAGGGCGGGTTGTTGGTGCAGTGGTTGGGATACCTACATCCCGTGTTAAAGTTCCTGGTTCTAATCCCAGGTCTGCCACTGGCCCAGCTTTCTGCCACTGTGTACCCTGAGAGGCAGAGGTGACGGCTCAGTGACTCAGGTATCTGACACCCAGGATGGAGTTCCAGTGTCCTGGCTTCAGCTTTGTGGACACTGGGGGCGGGGCGAACCAGTGCATGGAAAATCTCATCTCTCTCGCTCTCTCTCTCGCTCTCGCTATCTGTCTCACTTTCCTTTTTCTTCTCCCTCCCCATCTCAACCTTTTAAATAAAATTAAAATCACTAAATATTAGTAACAAAGAAAGAATCTAAATTGCCCCACATTGTTTTGGCCCTCACACTACGAACGCATTTTGGGGATTTGGGGAGTTCACTGGTAATTCTGCCATCTACAGTGGCACCCAAGCATGGTGGTGCATCTCGTGTTCCTGAGCACAGAAAGGCTGTGATTGTCTCTTGGAAAAAACACATGTACTAGGAAAGCTTTCTTCAGACAAGGTATTAGTGCCCTTGACCACAAGTTCATTGCTAAAGCGATCAGTAAGTATGCCAAATACAGTCTTTAAACAGAAAGCAAGATTCTCTATGAAGATACTTCCAAGAGTTTGTGGAAATGGAATTAAAAGATAATTTATTTTGGTGCAAAAATTACGAAATCCATGCATTGCTTTTTCACAATATACATTTCCTATTAAATTTTTTGAAGTTTTCCCTTATTGACTGGTGGAGAACAATGTAGTGACCAGAAGCTCATAGGAACCTAGTCCCGGTTTTCCACTAGGAGCAATGGTTCTGTGTTGCTAATTCAATGTGTACAGAAACTTAAAACACAAACACACACACACACACACAAAGATCACCAGTAATGAAAATCAGTTCTCTACGTACTCATATACATGATTCAATTTATCCTTAATTTTTATATGAATATGGGAATGTACTCACAGAAATATCCCTACACAGAAACTAAGTTTTTGCAAATCGGAAAATCTTCATTGTCTCCATTTTTATACTGTTCCTGTATTTTCCAAGTTACTAAAATGCAAGCTCAAGCTCTTTGTACCACCTCTAAAAGTTATCTCTGAGTGGGTCCCTCCAACAGCAGTTCCAGTGTCATGAATACCAGGGATGGACAGCCTTTTCCTCTGCGGGGAAATTCAGTCTATGAGGAACTCTGGGGCTGAACACTGGGCAGAGATGTGGAGCCTGGGCAGCTCAGTTGTGGATTTAGCGGCCAGGCGTATCTCCACTGAATATTCAACTCTGTATGATTTCATAGATCAAATTATTACCTAAAATTATAAAAACTCCATTTAACGCAAAGAACCTCTTGTTTGATATTACATGTAGTTTCTTTTCTGATATTAGTTGTAATTTGCTTTATTCCCCCAAGCTATTTTCTACCATATGCTTGCAGATTGAAAATGTTTTGAATCTCTCTCAGGTGATTTTAATTTCTGATCCTGAACATGTTTAGGTTAAAACGAATTCTAGCTGGGGTACGGGAGCTTGCTTTGCCATCATACCCATGAAGCGAGAGTGGCCAAGACTCAACCCTGGTTTGGTTTGTGAAAGATAATGGGAAAGAAATGGAAACAGAAATAAGGAAGGTGTAGGTTAGATACTTTTAGACACGTTTTCCAGGAGTGGACTCTGAAACAGACAACTAAATAGAGTCATGCAATGTCTGACAGAATGAGATCGGGCTAAAATAAATCAAACGTCCCCAAATTGTCATCCAGTGCTTCCTCTGGGATACATTCAGAGGGAAAAATCCAGTTTGCTCTGCATCACGTGAACCAGACAGAATTCCCACTGTACCCCCCGTCCCTTGCACCTCTCCTACCGTTGTGTAAGCCTGGCTCTGCCCCAAACACACAGCTCTACTTCTGCTGTTTTATCTTACATTTTCCAGTGATCTCAAACAGTGTTTTTCCAACTACTCATGAGGATGAACATATTATTCTCCAATCTATAAGAGACTGACATACTTTTCTGAAATGGAAAAACAGAACTACCGAGGCATTAAATTAAAAGTACATATAAAACCCAAGCCTACTACTCATGTGCTTAGATACTGCAGCAGTATCTCATGGCTCTGATAGTGTCTAGGCACTTCATATCCATTTTTATACTTGTCACAGATCAGCAACAAGTGCATCACCGAGCCACTGCTGGTCCAGGGATCTCACATCGAGGAGCAGATACTGGGCAACAGCATTAGGTCAAAGGCTTGGAAAAGACTTGGGATTAAAACTGTCCACGCAGAGGCCAAGTAAGATTAAGAACCAAGGAGACAACCCAGTCTGTAATGTGACACTGATAAATGCACCCATCCAGCCAGCTGGTGCATGTAAAGCTGTGCCTTCCTAGGAAGTTAACTTTTGTATGCTGTTCCCAGGCCTCGTTTGTAACAGATGCCATTTACCTACAATGAGGGGACTCATTACCTGTCAACAGGACTTATTAAGCAGATTAAATCATGGTGGTCCCTTTAATTCACTCCAACTAACTCTACATCAATTTAAATCTGATTCTATTTTGTTTTTCTAAGTACACAACTCCTTTCCACTTCTAGGCCTCTGGAGAGCTGAGCCCCTTTAAAAAGCCACGGGACTGTGAAAGAGGGGAAGAAAAAGCAGCAATCAGAATTTTCGTGTTTTGTCTGGTTTCTGATCTTACGTGTTTAAATGCTGACTTTAGACTCTCATCACTTACACCTTGTGAGTCTGTGGAGGGAACGTGCTTGAAATGATAGTCACAGAAACAACTTTGTGGAACTGTTACTCATCAACGGTGTTTTCTACGCGTTGTACCATCATCTTTACCATATCACTATTCTCATTTTCAGTATGGAGAAAAACGAGGCTCAGGGGAAATAAACAAATGACTCATGTCGCAGCCAGTTGGTGAGTGGGAGAACCAGGACAGAAACCCTCACTGTTTTCTGTGTGATCACGGCCAGCAATTAACTTGGAGAAAGAGCAAAGCAGCCCCTCCCGGCCAGCAACTGGCCTGGCACCACCAGGGAGGCCTCCCGCTGTGAGAAATTGGCTGGCATCCAGAGCCAGGCCTTGGCACACTCCCGTGGCACATAAACAACCTCACAGGGCACCAATATCAGACAAGGTCACTCTGTGACTACAAGAAAACAGGGCTGGGAGACCATTACTACTTCGTAAGCTTGTTCAAGCACAGGCTAAGGCAAGGTTCTTGTGCAAACGACAAAAATATCAAACTTCTCCTGGATAATATGAACAACGACTGATTTTTGAAAACCAATTACAGCTTCAGTCTTCTATCATCGCTCTGTCCTTCTAGATAAGATTTACAAAGAAATAGCCTCACTTCTTGACAGCAGCATTTAATCTACAACAATCTTTTTGCTTCCTTGAAACTTCTCCCAAATCAGCGGACACAACCAAAAATCCTGTCATAAGTCATCCTGGACACCTCTGTACTGAGACAGCCCCGTGGCTTCCAGGGTGGATTCCTTCCGGGGCCATAAACAATCAGCCTCACTTATTCGACTCCAAATAGGTGCACCGTGGTCTTTGGCTGGAAAGCGTTAACATTTCCCAAACCAAAGAATGGGAGAGTGGTGTCATTAATGGAAATGCTTACAACTGCAGGTAGTAGGAGAGGCTAAGCTTATACACCAGAATATCCTCTCTCCCTCCCTTCCTCCTCTGGCCCAAATCACAGAAATATGCGACATACAACAGGGGAAAAACGGTTTCTATCTGCTTCCCTATATATAAAATCTTCCAGTGCCCATATTAAATTGCTACAGAAACATTCTAACAGTTTAGCTGCTATGACCTTCACCTAAGACCATCCCAAGTATCCCTGGGGCCATATGTATCACACATGCAAATGGCCAGGCCACTGCTCAACTGGTCACTGGAGGGTTTTGCCTATTTTCCAATGTCTTTCAGCACTCAGGACGTTCTAGAAATGTCTACATTCACTAACCTTTGTCACTAACCATAATTAAGGACCCAGAACCCCACACAGATCTTGTCAAGATGGAAACATAGAGGTCATCGGTGCCCATGATTTCTGGGGAGAGCAGAGGCGCGCAGTGTAATTTACAGACTGCAGACGGGGAAGCAAACCAAAAGGGCGGCTCCACTGCCGGAGGCACCGGACCGCAAACGCCCAGGAAGTGGAAAATGCACAAACATGTCACACACAGGCAAGACTACCTGTCCAGGCTCTGCCCGTGCCGGCTGGAGGCTCACGCATGGGCCAGATCTCAACTCTCAGGTAAAAGCTGCAGGAGGAATATTCAAATCATAGCAAAAACCCTCAAATTTGACAACTGAGACTTTGTTTCCAGTAGCAAATAAAAATATGTAACTATTGTTCATTCGGGCTTTGATGTTATCTGAAGGGTTTCTGCTTTGACATCTATCAAGGTGACAAAAACCGAAAATGTTTTGTGTTACAAGGGATTATCTAGGACTGTTAACATGTCTTATGATATAGGCTAATATAAAATCTCATATTTCAAAAACAATTTAGGCTGACATAATATTTTTGAATAATTCCAAATGATACTGTGTAACACTGAACTTCACATTAAAATTTTAGCCTAATAATTCAACATACGCATGCTGGTGTTTTACCCACACAATTTAATTTTCATTCCATTGTAAAAGGTATAAAAATTTTGAGTTTTTTGAAGTGTTAAGATTAGTCTTTTATATCTCTAGAGCCTAAGAATAATTAAGCCATTCTTTTTTTAAACTGTATTAATATAAAGAGAACAATTTCATATGTTTCATAGATACCATTCTAAGGAGACAAGTAGATTTCCCTACACCCTCCTCTCCCTCCCCCTATCCCCCTCCTTCCTTCCCTCCGTGTTACGTTAACTTTTGCAAAGACTAACTTTCCAACCACTCTATACTCACAGGCTTAGTTCACCACTAACCGTAACATTCAACAAGTAAAAAGTAGGAAGACCACAGTTCTCCGGGAATATAAGCAAAGGCTAAATACAACAATCATAGCACAAAATATCTGTTTCCCATTTCTGTATTTTTTTGTGTGTTGTATATTAACTGCCATGTATCACAGAAAATGATATTTGTCTTTTTGGGACTGGCTTATTTCAGTAACGCAATGGTTTCCAGTTGTATCTACTTTGTTGCAGAAGAAAAGAGGTCATTCTTTTTTAATGGCTGGGTAGTATTCCCTAGTGTGTTCCATAGTATCCCATAGTAGTATTCCATAATAGTATTTCACACTAGTAGTACTCCATAGTAGTATTCCGTACCACATTACTATAATTTATAATAATAAAGATATCATATTATATCTACCTGTCAGTACTACCTGGTTATCTTTAGAGTGACTGTAATACATTCTGACAACTGATGTAATTATTGGACCCTGGATGAGTGAAACACAAGTGGAGTATCTTCCCCTGGTGGAAAAAAACTGACCATTTACCCAAATACCCTTCAGTGCACTGAAATGAGTAAAAGTAATACTTTAAAAGGAACTGGAAAAACAGGACTAGAGAGAGTTGGTATGTATAGGCTAACTTATTTGAAGCATAATAATTTTGCTATATTGGCATTCGTATTTAGTCTACTCTTATAAAAGGCTATGGAGATAATCCCAAAAAGTCGAATGATGTCATAATGGATTATATTGTACATGGGCCTAAACATTCATTTAGAGACTTTTAAATCACTCAAGGTGTTCCATTCAGACTTACACCTAGTAATTTATTAACTATACATGCCTGTAAAGTGCTTAGAAATGAACTAGCTCCACGGGGCTCACTCCAGTGGCACTGTACTCAAGCAGTTTCTCTAAGACGTTGAAAATTAGGCTATGAATGTAACCACTTCAGAGGACGTCAAATACATCACAATAAACTACACAGTAATGGCAAGCTTACATTTTTAGGCCCTCATTTTAGGAGCCGATTAATAATTAATATGACACAGATTAATTTATTTCTTTTTGTGAAGCCTGCAAATCCACCACATTTTGAGCAAGGCATGCACAGTACCTCTGAAAATTATAATTAACATTGAACTTCAGCTCCACATTGAAGCGGCAGTGATACACGAACAACAGCAGGAAGATGAGAAGAAAGGGCATGCATGGTGCCATTTGTATACCTGTTTTTCTTTTAGGCAGCTTCGAACTGTGTGCTGATTTTTTTTTTCTCTCTGAGACATCTTCTGGGAATTTTGGTCCCAGCTAATGCATAGCAGTAGTACAAGGGCATCTTTCAATTAAAAGATCATTTGTTAAATTAATGCAGCAATTTACGGCAGTGTGACCTCCGGGTTGTTGCTGGGGCTGGATGCTATTCTATACAAGTAAAAACGTGATGGAGGTCCCTTGTAGAAAACTGTGTAAGTTTAATGAAAAGACAAAAATATCTCTCTCAAAGCACCGACCTAGATTGGACATTAATTTTCCAGTCACTCATATAGGCATCCTAATTATCTTACTGCTAATCAGTAAAACGATACCGTATTGCCTAGAAGTGGAGAGAACCCTACTTGGCGTCCGAATGTAGAGCTCTGTAGAAAGAAGTTCTGCATCCCCTCCCCGAGACGTATCCAACCATTTACAAAATAATCAGTAAGCAGAGTTAATTTGACCGAACACTGAACTTTCACATTATGGATTAATATAGAGGTATGGATGATCCCAGGGAAGACCTCACTCCTCCTCGCACAGACCAAGCCAGAAAACACCTGTGCTTGACAAAGTCTTGTTTTCTGTAGAAGGACATCCAGTTCACTTTTTGATCTTTTTCCATTTTTTTCCAAAGACCTATTTCCTCATTTATAACAAAAAATGATACTTATGTTGATTTATCTGAAGTGGGAGGAAGTCACAGAAGGAAATTTCTATTGCCTCACAACTGTTATTTTGGTTAATAAGAACCGCTAATGTTGGGATTAAATGTAAAAGGAAATTGGAACCGAATTCCTCTAAGGAAGACTACTGATAATCTTATTAACTCAAGCATTCATTCTTTAAACAAATATTAATTTTTTGGTTATACACAAAATCTTCAGAGAAGGGACACAGATAATAAAATCGTTCAAACCCGTATGCTTTGCCTGCAGGAGGACATTTATTACCTGCTGTGATGTCACTGGGTAATTTTCCGGGCTGCTGGAGCTCCAGCTTCAGTTTCCCATCACTGAGAACGAGGAGGAGACCCCCGGAAACCAGCTCCAGTTCGCTGAAGAGCAGAAGCCCTGCCTTATTCCAGGTTCGAAATTGAAAAGTAACAGAAACCTCATCCTCTCTGGACGAGCCTGGCAGGGCTAAGTAACTCCTGGAGCTCAGAAAAGTCACAGGCATAGACTGCGGTTGTGAACAGGAAAAAGACACATTGCCCTGAAAAGAGAGAGAGAGGGAGGGAGAAAGAGAGAGAGCTTTCAGGACGCCATTCTCGTCATATTCATAGCAGCATTTGAAATATTCACAAAGTCTCCTGATCCATCTCATATTATCCTCGAGTTAAACAATAACACAATCCTATCTATGTGGAAATCCACTCTTGCCACTTATCCTAAAGGTTCCTCAACCTTCTTCTCTGGTCTTCTCCCCACTTCTCACTTTTAATATAGACTCGAAGTCAATGAAATCAGTCTCGCTGAGAAGAATACATGTTGGAAAGGAAACACAAACATGTGGCTGTATTGTAATTCTGCTGAAAGGGAATTCGCTTTTGTTGTAAGCAAACATCTCGTTCCAATGAATGACATCCTCAAGGCCATCAAGGGAAAGCAATCATCAGACGATCAAGCCTACTGCCTTAATCCATTTACTGCTACTACGACTGAATGCCACAGAACAGAAGTTTATTTAGCTCCCAGTTAGGAACACGGGAAGTTCAAGTGCATGGCAATGGCGTCTGGTGAGCCATTGCTGCGCCATAACACAGAGGGGGGGACCCCAGGGCAAGACAGCACAAGGGTGCTAACCTGGGCCTCTCTCCCCACTTCTTATAAAGCCACTAACACCATCATTATGGGGACCCCACAAATGTCCTCAACTAACTTTTAAAAACCACCTCTCAAAGGCCCCACCACTTATAACTACCATGACATATTAATTTGGGGATTAATTTGCAATTAGTTAAAATGAAAACTAGTTTATTGTTAAGCATCACTGGGATAGCTGCCTGCAACCCTACAAGCAGCAAACCCCATTGCCAATGAAGAGTGTACACTCCTTGCATGAGCAGTTTCTAGGTGCTCATTGAATGAATGAAACAAACACATCCATGTATCTACAATATTTTTATTTTCGTTTAAAATCATTTTTTTCCTTTTTATTAAAGGAAAACTATTTATAAGTCATGCTGGATATTCTATCAACACCATCAATTTTTACAAAGTGTTAGGAGTGAAATACTTTATAAACAATAAAAAATCTCGCAAAGAGCTCTGGGATTTGCTGACTCAACCTGAATTTCAATTTATATGGATTGAATTTTAAGCAATGAAAGAAATGCTTTCAAATCAGGACTGTCTGCTGATTATTACCAAACTGACAACGCTGGACCCGCATTTCCCAAATTGCCCTGCCTTATCCCTGTCTGTCTGTCTGTCTCTCTCTCTCTCAGTAAAAAGGAAGCCTGGGTGATATATGACAATCAGAAGTACAAGATGAGCCATTTGCTCCAAAGTGCTCCCGTGATCCGGCCCAACAAGGTTGGTCACAGAGGTGCTGGTGTGTTCTTGCTAGTCCTTGCCCTCCACGGTCACCTGCTGACTCTCCCAACAGCTGACCATTTGGGCCTATGGGAGCCATGATTCTCAAAGGCCCCCTCCATAGCTTCCTCTACAGGCTGAAAACAGCCCACACACCGCGACACGCCCAAGCATACCATTGCCGCCTGCTGAGCTGCTGACGACTCTGATCTTCGGCAGTCTCCTGCCAGGCCTAAGACCCAAGTCCTAAAACGCATCCCATGTTCATAACTCCCATATCCCTGACACTTCCCTGGCTGACCTTGATCAAGGCAGCCAGCTTAAAATTCTGCTGCATTTCCATGGAATGCGAATGCAACACAAGGTGACCAACGTTACTCTTTGCACAGATCGGCAGATGCAACGTGCTAACAGCCTATGCATTTCCTTTACTTGTCATGAATGACCATGGCAAAATACGAGTTTTTCAAATGTCTGTCTAATGTACGTGGATGTTATTTCATTCCAGAAACTCTGTATGCTCATTTAGTGAGTTTGTCAGGGAAAATCTTATTAAGGAAATCATAGAGCAACAGAAATTGGTCTCCTGGGAGTAATACCATCCAACTAAATTAAAACATCAACTGTAAAAAAAAAAAGAAAAATAAACCCTGCTTTAGTTCACATAAAAATAAGATACTACGGCCTGTGAATTATGGTTCCTTTAGAGAGAACTAATCCCTTTTATGCATATTGCCAATCAGATAAAACATTTAAATTTGAATAATCTCTAAAACATCATTTCAAATGAGAAGCTAACATGAAGCAATGCTATTGTGTGAAACAGAGGCATAGTTTTTTTCTCCCTTTTACTTTTACTTTTTTAAAATTTATTTGAAAGACAGAGTTACAAAGAAAGGTAGAGACAGAGAGAGGTCTTCCATCTGATGGCACACTCTCCGAATGACCACAACGGCCAGAGTTGTGCTGATCTAAAGCCAGGAGCCAGGAGCTTCTTCCAGGTCTCCCATGCAGTTGCAGGAGGCCAAGGACTTGGGCCATCTTCTACTGCTTTCTCAGGCCATAGCAGAGAGCTGGATTGAAAGAGGAGCAGCCAGGACACGAACTGGCACCCATATGGCATGCCAGCACTGCAGACCAAGGCTTTAACCTGCTGTACCACAGCACCAGCCCCTAATTTATTTTTTAAAAATCTCTCGATGAACAACAATTGTATTTATGGAGTAAGGGGAGACATTTCAATATATGCATACAACATGTATTGATCAAATCAAGATGATTAACATTGCCCTCTTGGCCATTATCGTATGTTTGCAGCCTTGAAACTCATCTCTTGTATTTGCTCAGAAAATACATCATAGATTATGGTGAACTACAGTCACCCTACCACACTGCATAGCGCTGAGAACTTATTCCTTCTACCTAACTCTGATTTGGTCACCGCGCCACCATGTCTATTGCAGTGCTAGGCACAAGATGCGTAGGCTTACGCATCCCCACGTGTGAAGATGCTTACCGTGGTGAGGATCTGTGGGTTTTGCTGCTTGGCCAAATCAATGATATCCACTCCGTTATAATAAAGATTTTCTAAACATCCATGGAAATTTTTTTGTGGGAATGACACTGATTTTCCAGGTGCTGGAATCCCTCCAAAGCTGATCTTAGAAAGAAAAATGGCATCAATAATACTGTTTAGTGGTTTTCTAATAATCTGCTTAAATAATTATGACTAGCAACTATGACTGTAATCATCACCCAGAACTCGATTTTCAGCACCCTAAGCTGAAAGAAAATGAAGATACAGATTCTAAAACAAACACATGCATTCCATTTTCATTTACACTGGAACTTGGCTATTCCTCCAAGTTGTTCATCACACCTGGTTTTGACACTTATAGGCTGATGAAGAAAAATAAATAGATCTTTACATTCAAGGTAAGAACATGATCTGTTTAATAATGCACACAATTATAATGACTTTTTTATTATATATATACTTCTTGTACCTAATAAGATGTGTGCATTTGAGTCAGTTGTTAGTGACTTCATTAACCAACGTGTTTATTGCTACATTCTCTGTATGATCTACACTGCTCAGGGGTACCCTACAGCACAGGGAAGTACTATATTTACTTGTGGTGACGTGATCTCTTTGTGAAGGCAATTTCCTTACATGTGACATTCTGTGACTGCACATTTCAGGTAAAAAAGACCATCTCCAAAACATCTATAATATAATAACTTAATATACTGGGGGCAAGATGAAACCTTGAACATTCTCTGCTCATTCCTGCTATTGTGAGTTTGGACACCTTGGACATGCTCCACCAGCTCTGTGATTTACTGTAAAAGCTGGGTTCTCTAGAAAATACTTTATTTGAGATAGCTCAGCTGCATGCGTATCCTAAAATCCGTAGTAATTGGAATGTAACCATCACACCTCATTATCAAGGTCCAGGTAAGTGAATTCCCCCTGTGCGTGGAAGCGGTGCCTGTGCTCATCCACGGTGAGGTTGACCTGTTGGCCCACACGCTGGATGAGCACAGAATGCCAGTGCTGATCATCTAGCAGGCTGCCCAGGGTGAGACTGATCGGGCTGTGGGCAGAGGGCAGTCTCGCTTCACCTTTGAAGAGAAAAAAGTAACAGCATCATTACTCCCAGAACAAGGGGGAAAAAAGTTTCCCTTAGTGAATCAGAGTCTCATAATAATCGCGTCTTCCTGCCATGCACTCCATCCCAATACCGCAATGGATTTACCTGAAGTCTGAATATAATAGTCTCTCAACCTTGCTGTGATGTTTCCACTGTTAATTCTTTTTATTATTATTACCCATTGCCTGCTCATCTTCTATGTAAATTTTATCTTTGCTACAATCTCATTATTTTTACTACCTCAATATTTTTCAATGACCCATCCCTTTCTTTATGACATTAGGAAATAGCTACATAGTTCTACCAGCGTTGTGGAAAAAAACACTAAATGAGAGGCTTGTGGGATTTGCAAAATATGAACCATTTTCACATGACAGAGTGATATTCACATACACGCAAGACCTCAAATCTGAGGATAAGGCACTTCAAGTGTTAAAAGCTAAGCCATAAAAGCATAAAGTTACCCAAGTGACATCAGAAGAATAGATTTCCAAGCAACTCACAGAAAAAGAGCTTTACCTGAATTAATAAGGAAAAAGAGCTTTCCTCCTCTCAATTCCAGCGTGAGGTGATCTCCACTCGGCCCTTCCCTGTGGAGTAGAATCCCATCACTCTGCATGGTTTTAAATTTCAAAGAAATAATATCTTTCATGGGACTCAGGGATTTTTGATCAAATCGGTAGAGAAGGGAACTTTTCCCATCCAGATCAACCACCTCTGATCCTAGAGACAAAGATAAGAACAGTCATGCTAAGGATACACATAATGTCCAGGAAAGCACTTTTCATGTACATAGATAGAGAGCACGATCGTGTGTAGTCACTCACACACATCTGCAGCTCAGCTCTGGGCTGGTCCTAACAAGGGAAGACATGACCATCAGATGTCTAACAAAACCTTGGATGGATTCAAGTCCAGCTTTCACTACCCTGGACACAAAATTCGTGTTCTAGAAACACATTTGAAAATGTACTTCTAGCTCTTTTATATTATTAGAGGCTATTTTTTGGCTCTTTGAAATGGTTTTAATTATTTTAAGAAACCCAAAGAGGGGAATACATCAACCCAAAGATTTCAAAGATATCAAGAACACAAGAGAAAAAGCCTTAAAATAGAGACTTGACAAAATGATGAGAGCCGAGGAAGTCTTTCATCCCACATAATAAACACTCAAGTTGCCTTATTCCCTAGAGATATACTATCAACAGACTCACACGGCATGTTAGCCACGCAGTCATACATCAAACGTTCTTCAATTATCTGCTAATAGAAATTGGTATTGATTAATCATCTACTAGTTATTCACACCTATATCTTTTTTTATTTTTATGTGTAACTATTTTTTTTAACTTTATTTAATGAATATAAATTTCCAAAGTACAGCTTATGGATTACAATGGCTTTTCCCCCCGTAACTTCCCTCCCACCCGCAACCCTCTCCTTTCCCTCTCCCTCCCCCCTTCCATTCACATCAAGATTCATTTTCAATTCTCTTTATATACAGAATATCTTTAACCATTTTTCTCATGCCATCAGAGAAATCAGAGTAACGATTATAATTAACATTTATAAAACCACCATGCCTATTCATGATCAACTCTTCAATGATACTCTTGACATGTTGAAACTAAATTTTCATTGGCTCCAGAAAAAAGTGCTTTTTTAAAGAATATTTATTTGAAAGGCAGAGAGGAAGGGAGAGGAAAGGTAAGAGAGAGAGAGAGAGAGAGAGAGAGAGAGAGAGAATCTTCCATCCTCTCATTCACTCCCCAAATTGCTGCGACAGCTGGAGCTGGGCCAGGCTAAAGCTTGGAGCCTGGAACTCCATCCAGGTCTCCAGTGTGGCTGGCAGGGACCCAAGCCTGTGGGCCATCTTCTGCTGCTTCCTCAGGCTCCTTAGGCGGGAGTTGAATCGGAAGTGGAGCCTCCAAAGTCTAACTGGCATTCACATGGCAGTGGCTTAACCCACTGTGCCATCTATTAACCCAAAAAAGTGGTTCTAATGTCTTGAAATTCTTTCATATACATGTTATATGCAAGAGATCCACACAAATACACATACTTGCCACAGAGTCATAAAATGCCACTTCAAGCACCTATAACTGACCATTGTGTTTTGTCTCATTTTATTATTTTCATGGTTAAGTGACAGTATTTAAAGCAATGCTATTTTTTGTCTTCTCAAGGGCATTGTTGAAAAGACACTGGCTTAATGCTACTGTAAGGTCTATTCTGCTGCATTTAAGATGGTGACATGGACATGTTTTTTAGCTTTCTGACAATGTCTTACCTACTCATTGTCAAGATCACTCTTATTCAGCTCATCTGAAAATGGTGTCATGTTATACCAGTAACATAACAGTACATCTGTCAAAATCGGTTGCACCTTGAACAAGAGACATGCAAAAGAACTTATAATACTCACAAATCCTAGAAGTATCTTCTATTTTTCACAAATCAAAAATTTTTCAAGGCGATTATCCTTGAGAGTGTATTTATGTAATAAATGAAGGGGTTAGGAGAAACCAATAAGATATAAACCTATTTTTCAACTGGAAAGCTGAGTTCTTCCAGTCAACAAAATGACATTACAGCTTACTCATCTTGTTGCATTTGACAAAATTATTATAGCTATTTGTATGCCCAAATGTGCATTTCATTCAGATCATCCATCATATTTTGTGAACCATTTCTATCCACAACCCCTCAAAATTTCTTTCAACTATTTTATGAAGCTAACTTTTGAAATTTCAAAGGTTTGATTTTTTTCACATCTTGCTAATGTGCTTATAAAGAATTCACTCACCAAGTGCACATGAATAAACATTGCATTCTGCAGAAAGAATAATGTTAACGGAACAATTATTCCTTGTTATATAGCTGGATGAATGTGCATGGTAAAAACATAACTCTGTCAAATACAAATAATGTGTTCTATGATTATTATATTATAATAAATTAAGAAAAATTCCAATAAGACAGACTTTAAATGCTGACATATTTGGAGCAATGCAGTTATCTCTGAGTTAATGTATCGCTTAAAGGCAACCATCTTAGTAATGATTTTATTTTAGATAAATACTATTTTTGGAATTAGCTACCATGAGATTTTTTCCCATAAAAGGCTTAGCCTACGTTACTGTAGCCTACTATTTCTTTCTCTCTTTTTTCACACTGCTGTTATTATTACATTGTAATGGACATATTCATCTTCCATGGCACCTAAATCTTTTGTGTCTGGGATATTTCCACCAGCAAAACGGGGTAGTGAAGAACATATCAAACAGCTGATGCCTCAAGCAATGGTATTCTGTTTCATCTCTTAAACTGAAGTCACTTCCCGTTTTCTCCAGCTCTTACCTACTCTCTGCTTACATCCCATGGATGCAATTATGCAATCCAATGATGTTTTCAATACAATTTTATTTAGGCCAACATGTTTGAAGCACCATGCTGGATGCTAGAATAAAAGAGTATTCAACACAAATAGGAAGCCACTCCTCACCATGCTTACATTTGGGGTGGACAGATGGTATATAATAAGGGAACAAATAAATCCATGAATCTATTAGAGACTGTAACAGGTGTTCTAATCAAGAGCAACCGAAGACTATGGTCATTCGAGGTAGCTGGGAAAGGTCTCCAAGTCTAGAAACTTGAGGCTGAGGTTGACTGCAAGGAATAATCTTGTCACTCACTGCAGACTTTAAGTCCTAGAACTTGTCCCCACAAACTAGGAAAACTCTTAGAGTATTGGACTTAAAAAAACCTGGACATTCTCCCAACACTATCCCATTCAACCGTCATGAAAGAAAGCTCTGTGGATAGCTGAGGAATGACAATGACAGGAAATAAGAAGTAGCAGTAAAGTCACCTCCCTTGGAAAAACTGAGCCTGAAAGGAAGAAAGCACGGAAAAGGGAAAATCAGCACCCTGGCTGCATTCTCAGCCTGGATTTCATGTGCATTTATACAGTGTCCTTCAGAGGAAAAACGCTAAGTGAAACTCGGAATGTGAGTAAATCATCAGGAAAACTTCAGGTAACATATACGCAAGATATAAAGGTGGATTCTCATCAAATGAAAGCATTCTGGAGGATTATTAGTGTCATTTTGGTAGTATATCTATTTATAATAACACCTTTTGAATGTCACTTTAATAATGTTATTTACAAAAAATGCATCTAATTAAAAATGATTTTAAACTATAATCACAAAATGCTGACCTATGATGTATGCCATTAAGGTTATAAAATCTGGAACTAAATGAAAACAAAATAATGTTTTGCAATAGAGATGAAGAGCATTTGGGTTATATAGGTAACAGCTATATCTTGTTCTCCAAGGGCTACTAATTGGAGAGGAAGATGTATAACCTGCCTTGAAAATAATCTTACTATTGTTAAGAAAAACTGGGAAAACCTGAAATAAAGCAAAGGAATAATTTTGTATCACTGTAATACTTGAGCATTTTCTAACAGGCCTGCCTAAAAACCATTCAATTCTAGATGAATTAATAAATGTTTTATTTTACTATTTGTTACTGATGAGAGCCAGGTTCTGTAAAGTTATATATTAGCTTTTAGATTTTTGCCAATAGAAATATAAATTACTTCTGTTTGATAGAAAACATGAAATTCTTCCAAAACAATGTGGAGTGAATGGAAGATCTCTCTTCATTGTCTCTTTCTCTCTCTTTCAAATAAAAAAAATATAAGTAGATAGAAATTTGGGAGCAGGCATTGAGGTATGGCAGGTTAAGCTACTGCTTGGGACACCCACATCCCACGTTGGAGTGCCTGGGGCCAAGCTCTGCTTCCACTCCCTATATCTTCCTGCTCATGGGCACCCTAGGAGACAGCAGGTGATGGCTCATGGCATTGGGTCCCTGCTACCCACATGGGAGACCCAAATGAAGCTCCTGGCCCCTGGCTGCAGCCTGGCCCAGCCCTAGCTGTTGTGGGCACTCAGGGAGTGAACCAACAAATGGAAGATCTCTCTCTCCTCTTCTCCCTCTTTCCTACCCCAACTTTCAAATAAATAAATAAATTTTTAAAAACCATGGAAATTGTGTATTATGTAAAAAATATATGCACAGATTTCAAAAATTTTTACACCAAAAGAAATACCTTTTAATTTCATTTTTCCAAGAGCTTTTTGAAATACCCTTGTATAGCCTCAAAGGTCATAGTTTTATTGCCCTGTTGGACATTGACTACTTGTGTGCTTGCCTAACAAAATCATTCCATCATTCTTCCTAGATCCTTGTATATATTGTCTCTCTTGAATTTTCTTTGAACTAACATTAGCATCCTTGTGATTCATTCATTTATAAATCAAATGATTTTATATGTGTTTACTCTGTATTTGAATGAGAGTTGTATTTTCAAAAATTTTCCTTCAACATTACTCATAAAAAAAGTACATTTGGGCTATGTGCCATTGATCAGGAAAGCAATAGTTTAAGTCCTAGCCATCACTGGTCATGTTCAGGGTTAATTTAACTTTGCTGTTCCACAAAGATCTCCGAATTTTCTAACTACTAAAACAGCATGGCCAACACAGATAAATTCTCACAACAGAAGCATTGCAGGATCATTCACAATAATTTATCTTTATACTGAAATCAATCTGTAAAAATATCCAGATTTTTTAAAAACATTAATCTACTCCAACATTTATTTGTTTATAAACACTAAATTATGGCTCTAAATTAACATTAAT